CCAAAAACGCTGTTTTTAGGGGTTTCAACCCCTTTTTTCTCGAAAACGTGACGTGATGGGACATTTTTGACCCCGGATTCGTGTTCAGCACGAAAAATCCGTTCAGAAACACCAGGTCCCGTCTTATTCGCAGAAAAAAAGTTGAAATTTGTAGACCAGTGTTATTTGAAAGGAATTTTTGCTGAATGCCTTTGCGAATATAGTGCGTTCAATAAGACTCAAAGAACAACCTAAAATAAGAGTCCGAATTTAGTAATTTATGAGGCTGATTAGAGGCTCGAAAACAGTCTGAAATGATTCATATATGAGGCCAATAATTGTTTTAAAAGAGTCCAAAATGAGCCGTATATTAGGCCAATAAGAGTCCAATATGACTCATATTGAGGCTCATTTGATGTATGAATTTAAGCTCATAGAAGCCGACCTTCGGAGAAAGGGAAACAACGTTGTATCGGACTCTCAAATGAGTTCATTATGAGCATAATGGCTCCGAAGTAGGACTCCTTAAAGACTCATTTATGACTCCAAAGTTTGCTGGGAAATTTAGGTGAAAATTTAGTTTATACAAAGTTTTAAACTTGGGTTTATATGGGCTTTGTTATGAAATGAAGTAAGTGGCAAGAAATATCACTTTGAAATGGCGTGCTATAGATATGACCGATACCGTATGTATATGGGTATGTATGTGTATGTATATGTAAATAGTATGTTTGTATGTAGGTGTTTCGTGGGCGTTTGGAGAGCAAGAAAATTACTACTGCTCGTACTATTTTTCTGATGACAACGTAGATACGTTGCTATATATATATACATACATATACATACATACTTACACGTACGTATGTATGTATGTGTACATATGTGTGCACTGTCGTACAGTATCTTAAATCCAAAAAAAACAATAATAATTAGAGGGGGCATGTTCGTTTTGAAGCTGTGGAATGTGTTGATGGTTTGGAAATCACTTTTGATTTCATCATCGTGTGTTGTAGAGGTATACGCCGCCGGGCCACGCCGCCGCCGCCGCCGCTGTTTTTT